GGATAAAGTGTCGCGTGTTCAACTGTCGCATGAAAAAGTGTCACGTTATCAAATGACTGGGTAATAGTGTCGTCGTGATAGAGTGTGGTCGTGATAGAGTGTGGTCGTGATAGAGTGTGGTCGTGATTAAGTGTCGTCGTGACAAAGTGTTGTCGTGACAAAGTGTCTGTATGATAAAGTGTCGCATGATAAAGAGTCACGTTATCAAATGACTGGGTAATAGTGTCGTCGTGATAGATTGTGGTCGTGATAGAGTGTGGTCGTGATAGAGTGTGGTCGTGATAGAGTGTGGTCGTGATAAAGTGTGGTCGTGATTAAGTGTCGTCGTGACAAAGTGTCTGTATGATAAAGTGTCGCATGATAAAGAGTCGCTAAAGTGTCGCATGTTAAAGTGTCTCGTGATAAAATGTCGCTAAGCCCTAAATTGATTATTACATATAACTGTTTTTTATATAATAACATAACAAATGCCATTCTGAGTAGGGGAGACCAGGGCTAGTCGGCGCAATTTTTGTCAAAATTATCATAGCTCCGAGATTAATGATCGTATAAGATCTTATACAATCTATACCTTAAATATCTACTTATAAATATATACTGTTATATTTTTTAAATATTTAATAATTTTCTCTCTAAAAAAGTTTTAGTAAAAAGTCATTTTTTGAACCCAATATCCCCGAACCCGTGGTTAGTCGTATCATCAATGGGGCTAGTCGAATAAAGTGGTTAACTAGGCTTCTTATGAGATAAAAATAAAATTTTTCAGATTTTAATATATAACTATGATGCTTTATTTTTATAATATTCCATTTACAATTATAACAAATAAAATAACTGGCAGGCCCAATCTTTACATAACTCTACATTGAAATCAATCTTCTAAATTATTAAAATTTTTATAATTCTGTTAACATATATATAATACACACATCTTTTATTAATTTTTTATTATGTTTTTATTATGTTTTTATTTATTTTTTATTAATAATAAATTTACTCAAAATATATACAATTCTACATTTAAATATATAACGTGATTTTATTTTATTATGAGGCCAAAATTATAATCTGATAATTAAAATGTTTATATCCAATAAAATGTATTAATTTGAATCATATTATATTGTCAATTAAAATAGATATATATATATATATATAAATATTTGTTTGCTAGATATAATTCATTTTGAAATAATTGATCTTATTATCAGGTTAAAATTTATATATGCAACATATATTATACCTGTGACAATATATATATGAAGATTTTAGTTTGCAAAATATTTAGGTCTGTTAATTATATTAAAATTGAAATGTATTATTTTATATATTACATTTATAAAATATTATATTTTAACCTGTAATAAATGGCATTTTTCTTAATGAGATATCATTTTTATACAGTTTTATAACTTCTTCATAATCTTTTTTTAGTTAAATTTTTTCCTATTTTGAATTTTGCATATATATTTGGGTAATAATCAGGGTGTTAAAGGATCGAGTCAAATTATCGCCGATCCTGGATTCTATCCTAAATTTGTCTATTTTCCAGGATTTATGATCCTCGTAATCGAGATCATTTTTTTAAATATTCGATCCAGATCCTTTTAGAAATTAATTTTTATAAAAAGCAATAAATGAAATAAAAATTTTTGAAAATTAAATTATAACATTAATTTAAAAATAAAATAAAATATCTATCTACATCTTTTCTTAAACGGTTCGTTTTGAACCTATTTTTAAAAAAACGGCTTACTCAATATTTCACCTAGATATATTTTAGGCAAGCCTGAAGATTTTTCTCGTAGAAGGAATAAAGGTCTAGACATATATTATCGAAATCTCGAGGCGTCTGAAAAAGAGTTAGCCGTTCCAAGAAATGGACTCAAAAGGAGCCGTTTAACAACACTAATCATATTTTATCAACTTCCATTTTCACCATATTTAATATTTCAACAATTTCCTAAATTTTATCAAGAACGAAATTTAGAGCCTACAAGTTTTAATAAATTCTAGGTTTTAATAATGTCTTTAATTATAGATTTAGAAAGATAATACATCTACTATTGATGTATAATAAATTAATTATCATTTCTTATATAAATTTCAATCACTGTATAATGACAGTAACATATTGGCAGCAATAAATTCACCCAAAATTTAAGCTAAATTGGCCCTATATTTATATGCCACAAAATCTGTTGATAAAATAGAGGTTAATTGCACATTTGGAAAATATGTTTGGTCAACCAAACGATGCCTCCAAATGAATCTATGGATGAAATAAATACCTTTTTTGAAAAAATCTTCATAAAATGCTCGTTCCATTAATAAATTTTTTCATTCAAATGATGATTCAATGAATATTTTTAATACTTATGTTAATTTAAATAAAATATTTACTGAATATAACACACCTTTGCCATCAAGCACTGTGAAGCATTTGTTTAGTAAAGCTAAACATACGAAAGAAGTGGATGTTTAAATGATAATAACTATTGTTATACTTACTTATATTATTATTATTCATTTACAATAAATTTATTATTTAATTTATTTTTATATTAATTAATTTTGCAGCGCTCAGTAATTTCCTTCAGAAATTTAAATAGATCACGATGCTTTTTTAAAAAATAAGGTCGATCCTGGATTTCGTTCCTCTTTTCTTGAAAAGATTGTGATCAGGATTCGATCTTTTTAAAAGGATCGATTAACAAGCCTGATAATAATATAATAAAAATTGATTGATTGCGCCGATTAGCCACTATTCTACTAACCTCAATGGTGGTAATATTACTAATTTGAACTTAACATATATTTAATATATCAATCTGAAACTTTTCCATTAAAATAGATATTTAACTTTCATATAAATATAATGTCCATTTTGTCATGTTTAAACTTTTAATTTTTTTTAATACAACCTAATAATATTTAGTGAAAATATCGTAATTTCAACGTCAAAAAACAAGTCATAACAAGATAAAAATTTAAAATATTATAAATTATTTTCATCCCCAAATATGGATATTATAGAATTTTATTTTAGAACTAAATAATCAATTTTTAAACGCTACTGGTTTTAAAATATTTGAACCGACAAACCCCTTGCGCCGACTAGCCCTGGTCTCCCCTAGAGATAGACAAAGCCCGACCTGTTCATAATTTTTGTACAAATTGCCCGGCATTGCCCGAAATTTTTAATACGAATTGCCCAACCAGTTAAATATTTTTATGATTTTTTCGGCCCTTCAATATATATCGTCTAATTTTTCAGCAACAAACATACTCTTATAACTCTCCTCTATATCTATTTTTCAATATCCGTTTTATAAATCCATTGTGCTTGGTATCTATATTGTGTATTTGTAATTGGATCATATCAGAAATAACTAATTTTTTTGTAAATTTACTTCTCATTTATAGATTTGGCATTTTATTTTTAGTTAAAACAGCTCTTAAAATAACAAAGAAATAAGCGTATTACAATCGTTTTACAAATAGTATTTTAAAAAAAAAATTGAAATATTAGCTTGAAATTCAAAACAATATTTTAAAATTTTAATGCCCAGTGGTAACCTATTAAAATTTTAAGAAAAATCAGATTTACAAAGTCCTGAATTTTGGTGGAAATTTTTTATCATAATTCATTATTTTACAATAAAACGGATGTATTTAAAAAAAACTTGTGAAAATTTTCATAATTCTTTAATTCCACACATATAAAAACAAGACGTGTTCTATGAAGCTATCAAGTTAGAACTATTAAATCAAATACTAAATTATTTATTGAATTTTTTAAAATAAATTTTACTTTGGTGAATAAGGTTGATATTTCAGAGAAGAGAAATAGTTATTTTTAGATTTGTAAATTAAATAAGCACTTGTTTAATTTGGGGCATTGTTGGGTTTTAAATATTTGAAATTGAATGACCCATAAAATTAAATATAATTTAATTGATACTCATAAATATAAATATTGTTTTCAGTTATTATAATTTTTATCAAAATTGTATCGCATAAATTACAAACAATAAAATAGTTAGGATTGTCTCTAAATATTTAATCAGCTTATTATAATAAAAAAAATTTTGTGGAAAAAGGTTAATATTTCAAAAAAGAAATAGTTATTTTTAGATTTAAAAGTAAGCACTTGTTTTATTTGGGTTTGATTTAAAATCGTTGAAATTGAATGACCCATAAAATTAAAAATAATTTAATTGATACTCTTATATATAAATATTGTTTTCAGTTATTATAATTTTATAAAATTGTATCGCTTAAATTATTAAAATACCAAATTAGACAATTTATAGCCAATTTTGTTAAAATTAAAATATGACTTCATTCTACCAGACCAAACAATAAAAAAAAAATAAATTTTTTTGTTTATTTAAGTAATTTCAAAAATGTAATACATTATATTGGAGAAAATATATAGTGATAAATATTATAAAATTTATATAACGCGATTAAAATTATATAAAATATATTCTAATCATCATGTGAGATGAGGCTGCCAATGAAGCTGATGTAATTAGTCCTGTGAATTGCTATTGCGAGTCTCTGACTTAAGAAGAAGCCTTCACGAGGTTCATCTGTTAGTTTGCGGATTAGCGAATCAAGTTCCTTGAAGAAGGAAGGAGCACGATTCTCAAAGGTAGTCAAGGTAGTGGAAATGATGGGAATGAATAAGTGATCTTAGGATATTTCTGAATATTTTGCAATTTTTAGAAGCTCCTTGTTCTCCAGAATGTTAAGGGATTGATTGTAAGGAGCCAATCGATCAATACAAGAGTAATCCCAGACCAAGAATTGGCCTCGCTTCCAGGGAATTTAATAAATAAAAATATAAAATAAATAAAAAAAAATTTCTTATTTCATTATTTTTAAAAAATGATAATTTATTTATTTAATCAATTTTTTTAGAATAAAGTTAAATTTGGGTTAAATTATCGTCTGCTTATAATTGTTATTTATTTCAAGAAAATTTTTATAAAATGTCCGCTATAAGAAACTTGAAAAATAATTTTACTAAAGTGAATGATGATGCTCTAGGTCTAGATGACTCTCTATCAATTAGTTTTGAAGGCATTTCTCCAGGTTTTTATTTTTTAAATCTTTCATTTTTATATGGTTTGCCAGAAAAGGAGAAAGTTGTAAAAGAGGATCACAATAAAATTAGGAAGAGAAAAATATCATCTCATAAAAATGATGAAGACAAGTTATATAAATTAATATGATATTAATATAAATTATTGTTTAAAATTTAAGAACTGATTTAGCCGAAGTTTTGGATATATTTAAAGGTATAATTTTAGATATTTCTTAAAAAGTCTTCAAATTTAATCTTATTATACTAGAAAATATATCCAAACAAATTGGCACCAAACAGAAAAGGATTGAAAATTGGACTCAAACATTATATAATAATTTTGAACACAAGGCTCAACAAAATTCGAAAATTCAGAGCGAGGAAAGGTATAAATTGCAAAATTTTGTTTTATGAACAGACCTATATATCAGAAATAAAATACTTGATGGTTTTAAGGAAAGAATGGACAATACCTTTATGGGATGGGAAAAGGATAATAACAATCTTAAAGAGCATTTAGAGAAGACTGAAGTTCATATATTCTCACGCTTAATTATTTTTTTATATTACAAATTGAAAATTTTTTGTAGAAATATTTATTGCAACAAATTCAGTTAATTCATCAACAAAGATCTTGTCAAATTAAAAATTTAAAAGTTCTAAAAGATACTAGTCAAGCATTTCTTAAAGTAAATATATGGCCTTTTCTGTGAATTTTTAAATTAATTATTTTGTTAGGATTTTCATGAATTAGAAAATACTCATAATAGCCAAAGGGCGAATCTTATGAACGAAATGAAACAAGAAATGGATAAAATTTACGAAAAAATTATGAATAAAACGGTAAAAGAACTTTTAAACAATATATAATTTATTTTATGGGCTTCTATTAAAAAGCATCAAGATGATATGTCTCGAGTGAAAAATAATCTTAAAAAATTATTTTATTAATGATTCCTTTTTTAGAAAATTTTTATTATATAGGTATACCTTTTTTTTATCATGTTTACCATTTACAGTCTTAAATGCATTTGTATAAAAATATTTAATTTTGTGTTATTATTTATTTTCTAAATTTTCAATCACACAAAAACAATATATAATCAAATAAATATAATATTTAGCTCCTGATATCTTGCTATAGTCAGCTTTACCGTAAATGCCCCCCTACTCGTATTAAAATTTAAAAACCAACTTAGCTAGGAAGTTTCAGTCGAGAATTGAGACGGGAGGACCAAGGGTTTCTGTATCTATAAAGAAAGAGAGAAAAAAGAAAGAACAAAATTAGACAAAAAAAGGATTTTTTTTTTTTAGAAAAGATCAAATTAAGTTTGGTACAAAATTGTTAGCCCATTTCATGATTCATACCCTAAAAATCATTTAGTAATTTGCCATACATAGATAATAAGATCACGTATATAAAAAAATTTCTAAAAGATTAGAATTAATTGGAAATATATTTATTTTCAAATCTAAAAAAAAAAGGTTTAAATATTTTTAAGCCGTCTCAAACTCATAAATATTCAAAATTTAAATATATATAGTTTAAATTAAAGATTCCATAAATTCCACTTATTGCTTAAAAACCATTTTCGGGCAGATATCAATTTTACAAAGTTATTTATTTCTCCAGTGTTTTATTCGAAATTGCCAGTATTTAAAAATATATTTTATTCTCAGAACTTCATTATCTTTTAAATGTTACCAGCATGATCAGGATAGGCATATGAATTCTATAAATATAATATATTCATAGTTTGAGCGGTTACAATCCGATACCTGTTTTTATTTACAATATAGAATTGAATTATAATTATTTTGATTGATTCTTTCAAGAAATCCTGCTCCTATGTTTTAAGATTTTTTTTTTGTGGATCAACTGAATTATTATCATTTTCTTTTAATTTTAATATCTCTTAAATTACAACTAATTTTACGTTAGACCATTTCCAGGAAGAAAATTTTATCAAAGAGATTTCCTAAGCATGTTTCCATAAAAAAAAAAAAATTATTTCTAAACAAAGGATATTTTTTTTTGAATAATAGTGCTCACAAACTGATTAAACTCTGAGCTACTAACGAAAAAATGCATTTCAAATAGTAACGTGCAAATTGGTCAAATTATAATAATTGGTTGACCATAGAAATCATTTTAAAAAGCGCAAACCGATGTGCTCTTTTCAATACTTCATTCTGTAATATTATATAAAAGTCAAATAAATAATTTAGAGGAGACCGTGGTTATTATTGTTCATAAAAAATTGAAATGCTATAAAAAATAAATAAAGCAAATGAAGAAAATGTTTCAAAATATTTAAAATTAATTTTATTATTTACATATGTCTCTACAGTAGTAAAAAAAAATCTTTTAGTGTTTTATTTTAATATAAAAAAATTAAAATAGAAATATGAAAAACACTTGGAGTACCTTTTGGCCTTTCGCGGTGCGAATCTATATATTTTTTGATTTTTTAAAAACATTTTATATAGAGATGTTAATATTAAGTAAATAAATTAAAATACGTTGTCAAATATGTTAAATGTAACAGGTTCCTCAATAATATATATATATCACCCAGAAGAACTTGTTGTCACTTAAAACTATCATATAATTTACAAAAAATAAGTCAACAATCTTAATATTGTAATTCGTGACCCTAGACAAACTCGTAGATGTTCTTATAAATATATTGAATTTTTTTATCAAAATTAAATCCCAGATTAAAAATGGCTAATAGGCACCTCGCCAAAACTTGCCACAGGTCTTCACATTTAATTAAAATTTAATCTCAAGATATTAAATTACCATGAATATTCTCAATATTTTTATACAATCATATAGAAATGATCAGAGTTGTTAAAGGATCTAGATACAAATATCTAGATCCTGTATCTAGATATAAAAATGTGGTATCTGTATCTAGATAGATTTTTGATTAAATAATCTGTATCTAGATATTATTTTAGATGTTGTATCTGTATCTAGATCCATGTAAAAAGTATCTTTTAACAACTCTGGAAATGATATTTAGCCTGAGTAACTTTTTAAGAAAATTATTAAAGTAAAAATGTAAAAAATTAAAAAGTTTTTGACGTGTTCTGTCTGGAAATGGCCTTAGTGAAAGTTTCAAATATATTTTGATTCTTTTCATGAAACCCACGGACTAATTAAAATGTACTTTTTATGTATTTAGCCTTTGACTATGTCTGAACATTTGCTTAACGAAGATATAATTGTACAGTAATCCATGCTGCTAATATTGAGCCCAAAATTTAGCAGGAAAATAAAATAATTAATTATTAAATAATTTTTTTTAATTTTTGTGTAAGAGTAAATATTATATATATACATATCAATAAACTGCAAATTTAATGATGATTTAAAATGTATATAATTTTCTAAGTTTTCTTAAAAATTAATTTATATTATAATAACTTTTTAAATTTTTTAAAATGCAAATATTTTTTTTATCTATATACACATAAACTCTAATTTTAAAAGCAGATAACCAATATTTTAGCCAAAAAATATTATGCAAACCTGGAGATTTTGCTAATAGGTGGTAGAAAGATTTGGATATCTATTAATGGAATCTCGAGGCGTGCCTAATTTATTTTGACTAAAATCTTAATTTAAAATCTGCTATAATGAGCCCTTTAAAAACACTATAGGGATTATACAAATATATCAATTTCTATGATTTCTTAAAAATTTTATTAAAATTATTAATTTACTTTTTTAATTTTTTTTTTCTAAAAGTATTTTATAAGGTTTTTACACTTAAACATAATTACACTGCAAATTTAATGGTGATTCTGAATATATGAAAAATCTCTGTGTTTTATTAAAAATTGAAAAAAAAATTAGTATTAATTGTTTTAATTTTTTTATATTAGTATATAATATATTAGAGATCTGCAAAAGTAGGGCCAGTACCCGGCCCGAACCCGGCCCGAACTCGGCCCGAACCCGGACCGGACCCAATATCTTTTAAGAAAATTTGGGCCGGGTCGAGCCTTAGAAATTTATTTAAAATATATCTTAATTTATCAAATTTATGTTGAATTTTTTTAATGTAAAAAATAAAAATATGTGATTTTATTTATAGAAAGTAGACGCCGTATAACATACATCGTTTATTTTGAATAATTATAAAAACTAATTTCTATATTTAAATAAATTTGGGCCGGACCGGCAATGGGCTAAACTTCATAAAAAAAAAATTTCAGGTCGGGCCGGGCTTGAAAAAATTAGGCCTGATGCAGATCACTATAATATATATCTAGGCCTACAAAATAAATAAATCGGATCAAATAATACTATTATTCGTATTCGATACGCGAAAATTTTTTAAAACTTATTTAAAAAAAAATATAAACAGATGCGGATGGTTTAAAAGAGAGATGCGAACCCAAACCCTGACCTGTGTCCTGAACCCTAGTATTTTGTCTGTACACGAACCCGGACCCTTTTTAAAAATGTAGGGTCCAAGGGTTCTAGGAATCAGGCTTGTTAATCGATCCTTTTAAAAAGATCGAATCCTGATCACAATCTTTTCAAGAAAAGAGGAACGAAATCCAGTATCGACCTTATTTTTGAAAAAAAGGATCAGGATCCTTTTCTTATTTAAATTTCTGAAGGAAATTACTGAGCGCTGCAAAATTAACTAATATAAAAATAAATTAAATATGGTGTAAATTTATTGTAAATGAATTATATATAATATAAGTATAACAAATTAAATATATATATTTATAATTAAATCTTGCCTTTAATAATTAAATTTTCTCTAAGTTATTATCATTTAAACATCCACTTCTTTCATATGTTTAGCTTTACTAAACAAACGCTCCACAGTGCTTGATGGCAAAGGTGTGTTATATTCAGTAAATATTTTTTTTAAATTAACATAAGTATTAAAAATATTCATTGAATCATCATTTGAATGAAAAAATTTATTAATGGAACGAGCATTTTGTGATGATTTTTTCAAAAAAGGTATTTATTTCATCCATAGATTCATTTGGAGGCATCGTTTGGTTGACCAAACATATTTTCCAAATGTGCAATTAACCTCTATTTTATCAACAGATTTTGTGGCATATAAATATAAGGCCAATTTAGCTTAAATTTTGGGTGAATTCTTGCTGCCAATATGTTACTGTCATTATACAGTGAAGGAAATTTATATAAGAAATGATAATTAATTTATTATACATCAATAGTAGATGTATTATCTTTCTAAATCTATAATTAAAGACATTATTAAAACCTAGAATTTATTAAAACTTGTAGGCTCTAAATTTCGTTCTTGATAAAATTTAGGAAATTGTTGAAATATTAAATATGGTGAAAATGGAAGTTGTTAAAATATGATTAGTGTTGTTAAACGGCTCCTTTTGAGTCCATTTCTTGGAACGGCTAACTCTTTTTCAGACGCCTCGAGATTTCGATAATATATGTCTAGACCTTTATTCCTTCTACGAGAAAAATCTTCAGGCTTGCCTAAAATTTTTCTAGGTGAAATATTGAGTAAGCCGTTTTTTAAAAATAGGTTCAAAACGAGTCGTTTAAGAAAAGATGTAGATAGATATTTTATTTATTGCTTTTTATAAAAATTAATTTCTAAAAGGATCGGGATCTAATATTTAAAAAAATGATCTCGATCACGATACTTGATTTAGGTCAGGATCATAATAGACAAATTTAGTATCGAATCTAGGATCGGCGATCTTTTGACTTGATACTTTAAGAACTCTGTTAAAAATATTATAAATTTTTAAAATTTTATTCAATTTTTTTTCGTGGTATCATATATTTTATCTTCGCGTTTTTCTTTCACTTTTTTTTCCTGGGCTTCCATTTTATT